TGTATCGTTAAAAATTATTTTTTTATTTTGTACGAACAAAATAAATATATTGAAAAATATAAAAACAATAAAAAATTATACTTTAGAAGTTAATTTAGTATCAAAAACGTAAAATATTTGAGTAGCCCAAGACATAGCCAAAGATTCCAGTGCCACAGCACTGGCAAAAATTTAAATTTGCCGACTGGAATTCTTTCGGATGATTGACTTTCGGATAATCGACGCTCTACTGTACATACATATATTTTTTCTGTTAAAAAAATTCACAGAATGGAAAGAGTGTTAACGCCCCTTATATATTTTATCAGGTTCATAACAGAGAAAACCCATAGCAAGAAATAGGATATCACCAATGTATAGGTAATTTTTCTTGTCAGTATCAACTTCATAAGTTGAAATAAAAATTTACCTCTCTATGTAAATATAGAAGTCAGGTCAAATCTTCAGAATATGATATATATTTATATATAGGTAAAATTGCCATAAAACATAAAAATTCTTAAAGATCGAATTTTAACCCAGATCTTTCAGAATGGCAGGTTAACTTTAACACTTCATCTCATACAACTATTTTTCTTGTAAAATATTTTATAGAGCAGCAAATGCAAATCCATGATCTGTGAGTCAGGCTGCAATCTGTATTTGTGGTGTGAAAGCATGGTCCTAAAGCTATTGTAAAAAGTCTTAAAGATCCTAATTATGAACCTTTGATAGAAAAATTATCATGAAATAAACAACAAAAAATTTCCTATTAAACAAACTATTTTTTCTGTTATAATCACATTAATACTTTCAATTATATAGAATTTATTGTTATTTTTCTGATATAGATTTAAAAATTAAATAAAGTAAAATTTGTTTGTAAACATTTTTGTTATTTTTTAATTGCTTAAATTAAATATTTGAACTGCAATTTTGAGTTACTGACTTTTGAATTCAACTTTGACCCATCTTTAGAAAAAAGAAAAAAAAATCATTATTATAAAGAATACATCAAAAGCATTTTTAATCTTCAATAATCTTTATTATATATAAAATTTTGATTTTTTTTTACTAATCAGGAATTATTTATAATAATTATTAAAAAAACTAGCTGTTACCTACAGGTTTGCCCACATGGATTTTGTAATTTGATAGAAATAACCCTCCCTCGAAAAATCATTCCATTGACTCATCACATAAGCCACTATTTCTGCACATACTTCTTTGGCCATCACTTGAATGTCATATAAAACATAGGATATTGCTCTAAAGAGGCAAATTCTGTTGCGTATCATTGGAACAATGATGTGGAGCGTCATAACACCATTTATATTCAGTATTTCAACAACCATAGTACAGTAATACCCCAAATTTACGCAATAGGTGGGACCAAGCGATAACCGCTTAAGTTGAATTCGTGTAAGTCGAGGTATAATTTTGCAATTTATGGAAAATCCAAGTTGGATGTATGTAAGCTAATAAATGTTCTCGTTAATCTTATCTCGTCTTTTGATTCATTCACAGTTACAAGAAATCACCACATAGAGTCTCTCAAGTCTCCGTAGATATAACAAGCACAGAAATAAATAACACAAAATAAATTGTAGCTATATGTCGATTCTGCATGACACATCCGAACATGTAAGCTGAACAATAGTGTAGGGGGAGTGAGTAATCGAGAGTTGCATGGTGCTCAAACAAAAGACAAATCGACGAGAACCCGGAGTTACGCGATTTTCAAATTGCGTAACTCCAGGTTTGCGTAAGTCAGGGTAGCGTAAGTCAAAGTATTACTGTAATTATTTAATTTATAATAATGTTATATAACACATACCCCTTATTGCTGAGAATCATTTTACTGCTTCAAAGAAATGTTTTCAATCTGATCAATTTTCTGGAATGTTTACAATCGTTCTATAATTGAACCAATATGCAATAACAAATTCAAATTTAAAACGGTTCGAACATTTGGTTAAAAAATTGTAAAAAAGTAAATATTGTACATTTGGAAATTAAGTTACCACCACCAGATACAAAAAAATCGCATCTAAAATAGTACAGTAGAAGCTGTTCTTCAGGTTAAGCCTTAATTTTCTCCCTCTCCCCCTCAGAGAAATTTCGATATAAAAACACATGCATATTTGAATGCAACGTTGTGTCAAAATTTCAAAGCAATCAGTGAAGAACTTTTGAAGATTTAAAATTTTGAACAAACGAACATTTACATTTTTATTTATACAGATATTTTTATTCCTTACTGAAAATGTCTCTGTAATAAGTTTATGAAACAGATTAACTAATTTATCCTTTGAAAACTGAGCAATTATAGTTGTTCTTATTGTATGCTATAAATGAGATATTTGTAATTTGGAACAGTAAGTATTGTAAACATTTATTGAAAAAGCAGTTAATAAATATTTTTATAATACATAAGTGGACAGCACGCTGACCATTTAATAGGAGAAACTTTTATCATACAGGCATTTAACACCTGTATGATAAAAGTTTCTCCTATTAAATATTTTTATAAAATTACATTGATTGTTAGCATTTTTTTTTAAATCCAAATAAATATTTTAAATACATTAACAAATATAACTTACTCTTACACTATTCTAGCTATTAAAAGAATGCAACAAAGAAAAATCTGTTATGTAAGCATATTTTAATATCTTAAATTAATATCTTGTCAAAAGACGACAGATTTTGTTATTTTCCTTATATCATTTTAAAAGATAGAAATTTGTAACATTTAAGAATTAAATATAAATAATTAAATCACATTTCTTTTAAAACAATATTTAACTAAAATTTTTTATTTTATTCACATACAACAAATATATTAACATTTGTATGCAATACTCCTATATTCATATAATTTTTCATGTTCTACAATTTTATAATTTGTGTAATTAGAACTTAATGGTGACTAATTAAATTAACTGAAAATACTTGTTCATGAAAAAATTAAATGCTGGATATTAAAAATGTAATTACTCAAATTAATTTCATTTACATTAATCCATAATAATGATGTTTGTTATTATATGTGAATTATTATTTCTTAAAAAATATATAAAACAGAATTCTCTAAAATTTGACAAATAATAAATTTTCAATTTATTAAAATGTAAAATTATAAAATATAGTATATAAATTCTTTGGACATAGACTATGTCTGAAACAATTATTGTAATAATGTGATATTTTACCTTGGGCCTCTTGTTCTTTCAAGTGAATGGGAGCCAGGACTTCTCTAAAAAAATAATAACTACAGTTTAATTTCATCTGCAACAATTTACCAACTTTCACTCGTTAATGAAAAGGTAAAATAAAAAAGCAGAATTAAAATAAATATTAATTCATATGTCTCTGTGTCCTTATTATACTGTTTATTATGTACAATGTCTACTAGGACTTATTATACCAGTATTTGGACATCTTAGTTTTAGATGAAACAATAGCATTTATTTGAAATAAATCAGTAATTTGTTAGTCCATTTTGGCCTTAATGATGCAGCAATTTTTCCTGGCATGCTTTCCACTAAATGATAATGGATCTGTTTAGGACTATTTTTCCAATCCTCTAGTAAAGCTCCTGCTAGATCGGCCATAGAGAAAAAATTTATTCAATGAGAATGAATGTGCTGTCGGAACAACATATAAAACAATTTGATTCAATTAGTATTGTCAAACAATCCATCAGATTATTTATAAGGCTATATTAAGGTTAATTTTAATAATTAGATATATCTAATTATAAAAATTAGCCTTAATATGTATGTGCTGTTTTATTGTGCCAAAGATATTTGATTGATTGATTGAATATAATTGGACTAAACTGGAACAACACATCTGAACTTGCCCAGTACAGCAACTCTGGAAGGGGTTTTGTGCTAGAAGAATGGAAAAATATTCCAGAACAGATCTACTGGTATTTAACGGAAAATATACCTAAAAAGAGGACCAAAATTAGACCTGATAAATTACTGATTTTTGCAAATAAATGCTGTATTTTCATCTAGAACTAAGTGTCCAAATACTTTTATCTGCATAGCATTTAAATAATAATGAATAATGTTTTATTATTAAAAATACAACATTATTCATTAAAAATGATTTTATTTAATATGAAAATGAATTTTCATTATCATATTAAATAAATCTAAAATTATTAAAAATTTTTACGTACCGACCGTCTTGGATGGGATAACTTTACTCCTTCGTGACTTTGCTATTAACAAACAGAAAAAAAATAATTCCATTATTAATAGAGCACAGACTGTAGTATATAATATCATGAAATAAGCATCTCTATTCTAGTACATGGATGGGCAACTCTCGTCATGTGTACCAAACATGGCATGCCAACAACTTTTTCTGGCATGCAACCCAGGGCTCACCTTTAAACCTAAATATCCAATATCTTTACTGAAATTTAAATTTAACTTAATATAATACAATTTTATCAATAAAATCTATCAACTGTTTAAGTAACAATAAGTAAACAGAAAATGAAACAAACATCCTATTTTGAAGACATCTATGTCTGTGATATACTGTACTGACTTAAAAGTATATTTTCTACTAAATTAGCACCCTGCTAAATATAGCTTTCCTATAGTACTGTTTAGCTAGTAGACTGCGGCGACAAATCACGGACTGGTGAGATGGCGCCACTCCTTTACGAGTTTCCCGGGAATCCCGGATAGAAAAACGGGGACTGGGTTTTTCCCAGAGAGAATTCTGGGTATTGTTGCTTTTTCTTCTTGTCGGGTGATCGCTGCCATGAGCACGTGTAGCTCTCTTTTACGTGTACTCGAGGATTGTTGTAAATAAATGTTGTTTTAGTTTAAAACGTGGTCGTGGACTTAACTAATTCACGTTTACAACCTTCTGATAAAGACAGTCTTGGTGGAGATGTAAATGGATGGAGGAAGACGGCAAGGTTTCGTCTAACTGACGGCGGCCATCCATTACCTCCAAGACCAAATAATAATATTGGCCCAACAATTTCAGTTGGCACATGAGAAAATTTTATATAAGATTTGGCAATTTTGGTGCACACACTTAAAAGGCTTGCCCATCCCTATTCTAGTATATATTATTATATAGAAGGATGCAAATACATCTATTAAAAGTAAATATCAAAGTATCAAATCAAAAATCCAAAATGAATAAAAAAATTAAATAAAATTATTGAATTATATATAATGTAAGTACCATAATACAGTAACCTTATTAGTATTCATAATTATATATGATATGTGTATGATCTTTGTTACAAATACATAGCAATTGATTGGTCATTACTGTTAATAAATGTGATTATTTAATCCTAAAGAATTGCATTCTCATAATTTATATAATTTAACTTTATTACAATATTATGTATTTACATACAGATGGATTTTGTGTAACTTGCAACCTAACATTTACATACACAACTTCAAGTTGCAAGTTATACATAAAATTCAAGTGTATGTAAATACATAATACAGTTGTAGAAAACCTAAAATATTACATATATATAAGTGGTATTTACTATGTTTATTACAATATATTAAGAATGGAAAGATACTAATAATCAATATATATATATTAATTATTAGTATCCTTCCATTCTTAATATATTGTAATATATGTAGACCTACATTCAGTCAAAAAAATTTTTAATAAATTGTTCTTATTTGTGAGCAAAATTAATAAAAATACTGTAATTTTCTGCCTATTCTAAATACTATCTTTTCTGCCTACTTAATATTCCATATATCTATTGTTGAAAAAGAGACTGTGCCAAACATCACTTACAGCAAATATGAATCAGAATTAAAAATTTGGAGGTAATGCTGAAATTAAGTGAATTCTTTGGTTTGACTGGAGGTAAATTTGGAGTTATCCATGAAAAAAAGATATTTGTGAGGTCAGCCGATTAGAGGTGAGGTGTTTTCGACAGCGGAGCGGTCATTACTGTCGTGTGGGCGCAGAAAGACTCACCGAGACAGGTTTACCATAGAAAACCGTTTAATAATATACATAAATTGTTCTTACAATAATCCAATAAGTCAGGCAAAAGCCTATCCATTGATGGGCTACTATAACCGTTCCAAAAAAAACGGAAAAGTTTGACTGTTCGGTCGGTCCTTGGGTCTTTTCGGCACGCTGGACGCAGAGAATGGTGGTCCCGGGGCACACACCAGCACTTGTAGTGTTGTCCTTGGTTGACACGTCAAACCTTGGCGATTCTGGACGCAACGGGTTGGCGAAACAAGCTCCTAGGGTGTCGAAAGAGCCTTCGTTGTGTCTCTGTCATGAGCACGAAATCCCAGCAGGTGAGCACTACGCACCAAAACCCAAGACCCCGGAAAATTCCCGAAAACGCAGTTTTATCTATTTTTCCACCGCCGTTGCTGTATTATTATATAGAAGGATGCAAATACATCTATTAAAAGTAAATATCAAAGTATCAAATCAAAAATCCAAAATGAATAAAAAAATTAAATAAAATTATTGAATTATATATAATGTAAGTACCATAATACAGTAACCTTATTAGTATTCATAATTATATATGATATGTGTATGATCTTTGTTACAAATACATAGCAATTGATTGGTCATTACTGTTAATAAATGTGATTATTTAATCCTAAAGAATTGCATTCTCATAATTTATATAATTTAACTTTATTACAATATTATGTATTTACATACAGATGGATTTTGTGTAACTTGCAACCTAACATTTACATACACAACTTCAAGTTGCAAGTTATACATAAAATTCAAGTGTATGTAAATACATAATACAGTTGTAGAAAACCTAAAATATTACATATATGTAAGTGGTATTTACTATGTTTATTACAATATATTAAGAATGGAAAGATACTAATAATCAATATATATATATTAATTATTAGTATCCTTCCATTCTTAATATATTGTAATATATGTAGACCTACATTCAGTCAAAAAAATTTTTAATAAATTGTTCTTATTTGTGAGCAAAATTAATAAAAATACTGTAATTTTCTGCCTATTCTAAATACTATCTTTTCTGCCTACTTAATATTCCATATATCTATTGTTGAAAAAGAGACTGTGCCAAACATCACTTACAGCAAATATGAATCAGAATTAAAAATTTGGAGGTAATGCTGAAATTAAGTGAATTCTTTGGTTTGACTGGAGGTAAATTTGGAGTTATCCATGAAAAAAAGATATTTGTGAGGTCAGCCGATTAGAGGTGAGGTGTTTTCGACAGCGGAGCGGTCATTACTGTCGTGTGGGCACAGAAAGACTCACCGAGACAGGTTTACCATAGAAAACCGTTTAATAATATACATAAATTGTTCTTACAATAATCCAATAAGTCAGGCAAAAGCCTATCCATTGATGGGCTACTATAACCGTTCCAAAAAAACGGAAAAGTTTGACTGTTCGGTCGGTCCTTGGGTCTTTTCGGCACGCTGGACGCAGAGAATGGTGGTCCCGGGGCACACACCAGCACTTGTAGTGTTGTCCTTGGTTGACACGTCAAACCTTGGCGATTCTGGACGCAACGGGTTGGCGAAACAAGCTCCTAGGGTGTCGAAAGAGCCTTCGTTGTGTCTCTGTCATGAGCACGAAATCCCAGCAGGTGAGCACTACGCACCAAAACCCAAGACCCCGGAAAATTCCCGAAAACGCAGTTTTATCTATTTTTCCACCGCCGTTGCTGTTCCATTGGTCTCTCCTCGTCACATGGTGACAACTCGAAACCCAACGAAGGGCACCGGAAAGGTCAACGTTGTGTCGGAGCATGACTCCTCTCCAACCTCATTTTCCTCGACTTTACTCTATCTATTGTTTAAAATCTTCTAACAAGACAAAAGGTTCATTGTTTAAATCCGATCTTTAAGTTCGCTCTTTCGCACTACAAAACTTGACTTATTCAAAAAGTCGTTAATTGCCTCCTTTTGGACCCCGTTTGGGTCCTCACATATTTATTATATTTTTTTATTATTTTCCTAATAATTTGTAAACTTATATTTTTTAGGGATTTTTTGGAGAGAAAGCTTGTACCATACCAGTAATTAGCAATTTTTGGATGTATGAATTTTTGCCACTTTACAAAATCTTATCAGGTTGTCACCTTTTGTAAGGTGACAACCTGATAAGATTCATGTTATAACTTGTATTAGTTTAATTGTGTTAAATCAATAAAAAATGGCATTTTTTTATGAAGTACAACCAAGGGCGGATCTAGGTTTTTCGGGGCCTAAGATTTATTGAAGTCCAATGGGGCCGCATTTTTTGTTAGATTAAGAATCTTTAAATTGTGATTTAAAATTCATTTTTAATAACTTCAAAATTAGAGTTGAAATATATTTATTTCTGAAATGGTGTTGAATGTTGAATGATGTTTTTTTTATATACCTTATATAAAAAAAAACATAAGAAATAAAGAAATATTTACTTTAATCAACCACATGTGGTTGGATTAAAGAATTAAAAGATAGACTCGAAAATGTTATACTGTATTTTTGTGACTAGTCTAAATTTCAAATATATGAAGAAAACTACACACCAACCGAATGCTGAAAATCTATCAGGCTAGTATATCGATGTTGTATATATGAAGAAAATATATCCTAAGTCAACATGAAAATTGTAAGAAATATTTACATTGATTAATTATTGACCAATTACATTACATTGGTTACAATAAAACAAATAACAGTATAAATTATCATTATTATATTATTATTAACATTAACTATTTTTTACTATACGATAAGTGCTCATTGTTAATGAAAAAGTATTAAAAGTTTATGATGATAATTCAATCTTTGAGAGTCCTTGACACTTGGAGGCCCAGGGCTTAAGCCTATTTTAGTCTCTATGTAGATCCACCCAAGTACAACACAAATACCTTATAAGAAGCTATTTTTTTCATGTCATGATTGCAATTTCATCCAGATTGAAAAGAGAAAGAAAAGTATTAAATGCTATGGACCAGTGGTATCCTAGGTATCCTATTGTGGCCGTCAGCCATAGTTTATATATATATATTTGTTAACTTTAGCTAGGCTCAGTATTTCCTTTGTTCTTTTGTCTTATCTGTTCTAGAACTTTCTNATTTAAAATGATGAGAAAGAATGCAGAAATGATCATATAACATATCAATTTAGTGATAAAGATCCTTTACATATTTTTTTATAAAATATGTAAAGGATGGTGTGTTTAAAA